CTGGAGCTTTGGGGGTCCCAGGGGGTTGTTTTGGGGTGTCAGGAACTCTCTGGAGCTTTGGGGGTCCCAGGGGAGCAGTTTGGGGTGTCAGGGACTCCCTGGAGCTTTGGGGGTCCCAGGGGGTTGTTTTGGGGTGTCAGGAACTCTTGGGAGCTTTGGGGGTCCCAGGGGAGCAGTTTGGGGTTTTGGAGACTCTCTGGAGCTTGGGGGGTCAGGGTGTGGCCAGTTGGGGGTCCAGCCCCTGCTGTGACCCCCCTATGACCCCCCTGTGCCCCCCCAGTCCCCGAAGGAGCCGGAGCAGCTCCGGAAGCTTTTCATCGGCGGCCTCAGCTTTGAAACCACAGACGAGAGCCTGAGGAGCCACTTCGAGCAGTGGGGGACCCTGACGGACTGTGTGGTGAGACCCCGACCCCCCTGGGACCCCAAAACCCACCCCAAACCCACCCCCAGATCCCCAAACCCACCAGGGATCCTACACAGTTGCATGGTGTCCCCCTGTCCCCCCCTGGGCTGTCCCTGTCCCCTCCCTGTTCTCTCAGGGGATGCAGAACACAAACTCTTGTCCCCTTTGCTGTCCTTGTTCCCTGCCCTGTCCCCTCATTGTCCCCTATCCTGTTCTCGTCCCCTTTGGTGTCCCCAAGTGACGTGCGACCCAGACATGAAACGCTCGCAGGGTTTTATCGTGTCCCTGTCCTTTGACTACCCCTGTCTTGTCCCTTGTCCTGTACCCTGCCTGTCCCTGTCCCCTGACTGTCCCTGTGCCTCGTCCTGTCCCCCTGACTGTCCCCTCCCTGTGCCAGGTGATGCGGGACCCCAACACGAAGCGCTCCCGGGGGTTCGGGTTCGTCACGTACTCCTCGGTGGAGGAGGTCGACGCCGCCATGAACGCGCGGCCGCACAAGGTGGACGGGAGGGTCGTGGAGCCCAAGAGGGCCGTGTCCAGAGAGGTGAGGGGCTGGGGGGAGGGCTCACAACCCCTAGAGGGGGGCTCAGGGAGGGGCTGGGAGGGGGTGCTCACACCCCTGGGGGGTGCTCAGGGAGGGGCTGGGGGATGGCAGGGGGACACTGAGCAGTGACGGGTGGAGAGGGATCAGACCCCAGCGGAGGGACCCCGAGAGAGACAGGGGGCTCAGATACCAATGGGGGGAGGATCAGACCTCAGAGAGGTATAGGGGGCTGGGGGGGATAAGGAGGAGTGTGGGACCCCAATGGAGAGGGACACTGAGAGGTACAGCAGTCTGGGGACACCTCCAGGGGGTCCCCAAAATCCCGGTGTTCTCTGGGCCTACCAAAATCCCTGTGGCCCTTGGGGACACCTCCAGGGGGGTCACTAAAATCCTAAAGTGACCAAAACCCCATTGGCCCTCTCCCTGGGCTCCCCAAAGCCCCAGTGCCCCCCATGATTTCCGGGCTGTCCTTGGCGTTTCCCACCACCCCCATTCCCTGATTTTTTTTCCCCCCCTGGCAGGACTCGCAGCGGCCCGGGGCCCACCTGACGGTGAAGAAGATCTTTGTGGGGGGCATCAAGGAGGACACGGAGGAGCATCACCTGCGGGACTACTTCGGGCAGTACGGCAAGATCGAGGTCATCGAGATCATGACCGACCGCGGCAGCGGCAAAAAGCGCGGCTTCGCCTTCGTCACCTTCGACGACCACGACTCGGTCGACAAGATCGTCAGTGAGTCCTCCTGGGGGGAGCCTGGGGTCTGGGAATTCCACCCTGGGGTCTGGGAACACCACCCTGGGGCTTGGGAACACCAGCCTGGGTCTGGGAACCCCCTCCCTGGGGAATCTCCTGGCCGAGGAGGGGACAGGGTGGAGACAAGGATGTGGGATAGGGATGGAAGGGACAAAGATCAGGGGGACAGGGGCAGGGCTAGGGATGGAGACAGGAATACAAATGGAAGAGATGGGGTGGATGGCTTGGGGATAGACAGGAATGGAGGGAACAGGGAGAGGATCAGGATGAGGGTGGGACAGGAAGGGGAAAGGGAGAAGATGGGAGTGAGGATTTAGGGGACAGAATTATCAAGGAGGGGACAGGATGGGGAATGGTGGCGATGGAGGGAACAGAGGATACAGAAACAAGAGTGGGGCACCCTGAGGAGCAGGACAGGGCCCCCCGAATCACCCCCCCCCACCCCGACCCCTGTCCGTGCCGCCGCAGTCCAGAAGTACCACACGGTGAACGGGCACAACTGCGAGGTGCGCAAGGCGCTGTCCAAGCAGGAGATGGCGAGCGCCTCCGCCAGCCAGCGAGGTGAGCCCCCCGCCCGCCCCCCGGCCCGGCCCCCCCGCCCCCCGCTGTGGCTGCACGCGCTGCCTGTGCTGTGCCTAAAGGCTGTGCCCCCCCCCCGCCGCCCCCTCCGCCCCCTCCCCTCTTAGGCCGCAGCGGCTCCGGCAACTTCGGCGGCGGCCGCGGAGGAGGATTCGGCGGCAACGACAACTTCAACCGCGGCGGCAACTTCGGCGGCCGTGGTGAGTGAGGGGGGGGGACACTGGGTCCTACAGGGACGCAGTTAGGACTTGGGATCTCCCAGGACCTATTGGGATCTGCCAGGACCTGCCAGGACTCAGCAGAAGCCGCTGGGCCGTATGGGGACACGCTGGGACCTACTGGGAGACACTGGACCCTATTGGGAACTACCAGGACTTATTGGGACCTATCTGGACCCACAGGGACTTACTGGGACCTACTGGGACCCATGGGGATGTACTGGGACTTACCGGGACCTGCTGGGACACAGTAGGACTTACTGAGGCCTGCAAGGACCCACTGGGGCTTACTGGGAGCTCTCAGAACCCACTGGGCGCTATGGAAACCTATAGGGACCTACCAGGACCCACTGGGACCCATTAGGGCTGATTGGAACTTGTTAGAACCCACTGGTCTCTAGGGAGACCTATAGGGATCTACCAGGACCCACTGGGACTTACTGGGACCCCTCGGAACCCACTGGGCCCTATGGGGACCTACCAGAACCCACTGGGACTTAATGGGTCTTACCGGGATGTCCTAGACCTTATAGGGACCTACGAGGACCCCCTGTTGCCCCCTCATGACCCCCCTCTTTCCCCCCCACCCCATGCCCAGGTTACGGGGGCGGCGGCGGCCCCGGCTACTCGGGGGGTAACCGCGGCTACGGCGGCAGCGGCTCCTACGACGGCTACAACAACGGCGGCGGCGGCTTCGGCGGCGGCAGCGGCGGCAGGAGACCCGCCCGGGGGCCGGCCCTGGGCGTGCGCAACGGGCTGGCCGAGGCGGGCACAGGTGGGACCCCCACGGGGAACCGTCCCTGGGATACCTCGGGGGGTGAGGGAACCATCCCTGGGACCCCCCCAGGGCCACAGGGAGCACCTCAGGGTGTCCTGGAACCATCCCTGGGACACCTCAGGGTGTCAGGGAACGCCCTTGGACGCCAGGGAATGCCCTGGGACACCTCGGGGTGTCAGGGAATGAACCCTCGGACACCGGGGAATGAATATCAGGGAATAACCCTCACAACCAGAGAACACCGTGGGATGCCGAGGAACACTCCTGGTCAATAGGGAATTCAATAGGGAACACCCTGGAACCCCAAGGAATACCCCAAACCACCAGGGAATATCAGGGAACAGCCCTCACCACCAGGAAACACCCTGGGGTGCCAAGGAATATCCCTGGTCAATAAGGAACACCAAGGAACACCCTGAGCCACCAGGGAATATCAGGGACACCCCCACACCACCAGGGAACACCCTGGGGTGTCAGGGAACACCCCAGACCACCAGGGACCCCCTTTAAGCTCCCAGTTAACCCCTCCCGCCCCTCCCAGTTCAACCCCTCCCGGTTCCTCCAGACTCCTGTTTTACCACCCCCCCATCTCCAAGGGTGCCCTTGGCCCGTCCCCCCCCAATCCCTGGGGTGCCCCCCTGACTCCCCCAAACCCTCAGGGTGCCCCCCTGATCCCTCCATTTCCTCCCCAGGCAGTAATTTCGGGGGCGGGGGCAGCTACAACGACTTCGGCAGCTACAACAACCAGGCCTCCAGCTTCGGGCCCATGAAGGGCGGCAGCTTCGGGGGGCGCAGCTCGGGGCCCTACGGTGGAGGTGAGACCGGGGGGACCCCAAAATCGGGCTGGGGGAACCTCAAAATAACCTTAGGGGCAGCTCAGCGGGGCTCGGATTTGGGGGGTTCAACTCGGGGCACTGCGGGGGAGGTGAGAGCCCAAAATATCCTGGGGGGAGTCATAGGGGCAGTTTGGGGTCCTGTGGGTTAGATGAGTCCTGGGGGACCCTAAAAATGGGATGGGGGGGCCCCAAAATACCCTTTGGGGATCTGAGGGGGAGGTGAGTCTTGGGAGACCCCAAAATATCTGGGGGGGGGCACCTTGGGAGGGCTTAGCTTTGGGGGGCCCTACAGGGGAGGTGAGTGAAGGAGGACCCCAAAAATGGGCTGGGGGGACCCCGAGGTATTTGGGGGGG